ATATGGCTTGGAATCACCTTAAAGTAGGCTTGGAATCACCTCAAATTTGGCTTGGAATCACCTCAAATTTGGCTTGGAATCACCCCAAATTTGGCTAGGAATGACTTTAAATACGGGTTGGGATCACCTTAAATTTGGCTAGGAATGACCTCAAATTTGGCTTGGAATCACCTCAAATTTGGCTTGGAATGACCTCAAATTTGGCTAGGAATCACCTCATATTTGACTAGGAATGACCTAAAATTTGGCTTGGAATCACCTCAAATTTGACTAGGAATGACCTAAAATTTGGCTTGGAATCACCACAAATTTGACTAGGAATGACCTCAAATTTGGCTAGGAACGACCTTAAATATGGGTTGGAATCACCTTAAATTTGGCTTGGAATCACCTCAAATTTGGCTAGGAATGACCTCAAATTTGTTTTGGAATGACCTTAAATTTGGCTCCGAATGACCTAAATTTGGCTTGGAATGACCTTAAAATTCTCTTGGAATGAACTAAATTTGGGTTGCAATGACCTGGACTTTGGCTTGGAACGACCTTAAAATTGGCTTGGAGTGACCTTGAATTTGGCTTGGAACAACCTTAAAATTGGCTTGGAGTGACCTTGAATTTGGCTTGGAATGACCTAAAATTGGCTTGGAGTGACTTTGAATTTGGCTTGGAACGACCTTAAAATTGGCTTGGAGTAACCTTGAATTTGGCTAGGAATGATCTAAATTTGGGTTGAAATGACCTGGAATTTGGCTTGGAATGACCTTAAGGCTCATCCAGTCACAAGCAGCAACCAGAGCAAGTTGCTCCCACCTAACCTTGGGCCGAGAAATTATGGAAGACTCAACCCCAGACCAACCAACACGCCTCACGGTGCCCAACCACATTCCCCCACGGCTCTCCAGGACAATACTCCGTGGGAATAGCCATGGGACGAGGCGTGGAGCCCCGTGGGGGAGCTGAGGGGCTGCTCCAGGCCTGGTACCTGTGAACTGTGTGCTCAGCACCTGCGGGTTGTGCAGGATGTCCTTCCAGAGCTGCTCGAACTCCGGGATCCGCGCCACGTTCTGCAGCAGCCGCACCAGGTCCCGCCCGATCATGAAACAGTCCATGAACTGGGATAAAGACAGGACAATCCCAGCTCCTTCCCACCTGCTCCAGCAGGGTTGGAGGAGGGGAAGGAGGAGGAACAGCGAGTCCTTCAGCCGTCCCCGTTCCGCTCCTGCCCCTGGCGCCCTGCCCCGTTTGAAGCGGCAGGTTTGGAGCAGGGAGACAGGCAGGGAAGGTCAGGAGCTATTTTGGAATGTTCTCTCTCCCAAAGCAAACAATCAGCCCATAAATCTGCCATGCCCGTGCCCAGGCCTGCAGCCAGGCCCCGGACACCGCGGCGTTCCGGCTCCGAGCGCGGGGAGGGTCCAAGCCGG